AAATATTTCACTATAAACACCGTGAGCTTGAACGTGTCAGTACTTACTTTGTTCACTGCTTAAGTCATTTATTTATCTTGTCTTGTATCGTTCGTTTGGATAAGTAGGTTATGCTCCCAAAGACTATAACTGCATAACAGTGGGCCAGCTCAAACCGCTGGACGGGAAGGTATTAAATTTATATATGTATACTTTACGCTATTGTAATTGAAATAGAACATAAATTTCAATGGTTTGTGCTATTTCTCTATGCGGTATTGAAGAACACGCTAGAGTATACCGTAGTGGAAGGAGCGGTATGCGACGAAATCTGGCGTCGGAACCCGCCTAGTAGGGGTAGCGGCAAATGGGAGGGAGCGGACGCTGCGGCACGCTTGCATACGCTCGCGGTTTTGCAGTACCGGTTCGATACCATAATTTTGATTTCCGGTACTGGGCTCAACTCGGAACCAGTACTACCGGTAGACAAGAGAATCAAAACTTCCACGATTTGGGACCGCAGGTTGCACAGGTGCAGGTTAACGTTTGTTACCTGCACATAAGCGATAATTTTGTCTCGCTTGCACATTTATATTATATTACATCTCTTTCTACCAAATGACACAATTGTGCGATGATGTTTTCACAAGTGCAAATTTCGAGTACTTTACTATCTTTTTTTTCTATCAATTGGTTATAATATATGGTTGTTTTAGTTAATGAAATATTATAACTACATGGTTTTTTTTGATATCCGTTATCATTTTTATTTTTAAATAAATTAAAAATTAATTTAATTATTACATAAAATTACAAATAATATTTTAAATATTAATTTTCCTTCAATTTTATACTTTATATCAATTTCGGTGTCGTGGAAATTTTTCGATACAAAAGCACATTCAAGCAGAGTTGTAAGTTGAGAAGCATGCGATTGTCCGACTTCTGATTATAAAACATAAGTCAAACGACGCACGCGATGCTACCGGATGTACCGGGTATAATCGCGAAACCGGGACTGACTGCACCTCGCCATTATTTCTATTTCCCGGTATTTTCGGAACCGGCAACTCCCGGGAATTAGTACATCCCTTACAATTAGAGTAAGGGATGTTGCTCATCAGTGTGGATGGCGAGAATAAGATTCTCTTTGATGCTCTTCCTCACCGTCCAATGGTTTGCGCTGGTCCTATAGCAGCAATTTACTTGGTTATTCGTTTATGCAGTCGAGGGCTGACTACTTGCATGACACTATCACATGTTGCTAGTATGATATAATACTCACTCACATAGGTACGTAGGCTAGCTAGAGCAAAGTAACGTCACTTTTAATTTAAACTTATTGACATGTGCATCACTGACATGTTGTGGTGAAACGTGTTCTTTGATAGAGTTCTCGCGCCTGGGGCTGCTTTGGCAAGCCCTAACTCCCTGGAGTTCTGGGCCATGAAATGCAATATGCTGAACTTAAAATTACTAGACAGGATTCAAAACACATAGCTGCAATTGAGATCAATGCAAATACCATTAGAGATATTTATTGGTCTTCAATATTATATATATGATTTCATTAAGTAAAAAGATATTCGTAATATTAATACCTTAGAACTAAGTCCAAACTTATAGTAGGTACAACGATTTCATTTAACTAAGGTAAACGATAGTTTTAGTGGAACTGTATGATTCTTTTATGTTTTCAATAAAATATAGGAGCATATATTGACATTATCATTTCCTAATTTTAAAACTTACATTCAAATACGTAAATTGAAAAGAGATATTGCAAAATTGAAGACTACGTGTTTGATAACGATGTGGACATTTGGGGCAATCCGAAACCATAGAAGATACAAGGAATTTGTATTAGGAACCACTAGGGGTCGTATTCCAGAACTCTACTCAATGCTCAAGTCGGGACTTGAGTACGATTTAAAGCACTAAAAATCATACTCAAGCATCGAGTATATAACCAGAAATAGAGACGAAATAAGAGCCATATATTTCTGGTAATACATTAGCGATACAGCTCTTATAAATATCAACTCTCGTTTGCACTGAAATATAGACAGGCCAACTACTGACCTGTGTGTACGTCTCCGTATATTCCAAAAAATATTCTGTATTTATTGTAATAAAGATAATATCTCTAACAATGCCGTGCTGTTCTATTCGGTGGTGTGGGAAAAATAGCAAAACATCTAATTACAAAACAAACGGAATCACATTTCATCGGTAATTAAATATGTAATTTTGCAAATTTCGTCCATTATAGCAAAGCTCAAGTTAACTGATCGATTTGAAGTGAAACAATTGACGACACCCATTGACGACACCCGTCAATTGTTTCGAACTCGGGCTAGCCAATCGGATCGCAGTTGTCACAGTAATGATATGGCAGAATAGTTTTCAAACAAATTAAATGACATTTCCGGTTATATACTCGATGTACTCAAGTCTTGACTTGAACATTGAGTAGAGTTCTGGAATACGACCCTTAGTCTTATTTGTACAAAAAAATCATATAAAACGAATAACATTTTATTAAATTTGTCCCACTTCTGCTGTCCTGTTTCTTTTCTTACGATATAAAATCATTCTTATAAAAAACTGAGCCCATCAGCTATAAAAAAAGTCAATTTTATTAATTTTATATGAAAAATCATTATAATTTGACCAACTTCTGTTGTCCCGATTTTTTCGTTCCATACAATAAGTCATCCTTATAGAGAGCTGAGTCTATCAGCGTTAAAAAGAATATAGTAAATTTTGTTAATTTTGTATAAAAAATATTTTATGAAATTTGACCAACCTCTGCTGTCCCAATTTTCTTCGTTCCGTACAATGAAATGATCCTTACATAAAACGAAGTCGATTAGAACTGAAAAAAAAAATGACCAATTTTATTCCTTTTTATGGACAATTCACGCTTCACCAAAAAATTTACTATGCCAAAATTGTTTTCACAAAAAAGACTAAATAGTTCCTGAGACAGTTTCCTTGTATCTTCTATGGTTCCGGTTTTCCTCATACTGTCTCATTTAAAAAAGAACACTATACATATATGTTAACATACACACAACGTAACATAACACTACATAATAATAATAATTAAAATATTTTAGAAGAAAATGCATTTTTTTCTATTTCTTATGTTTTTCTGGCCCCTAAAGAACAAAGTTTGCCCACCCCTGATCTAGACAGATCCCTATAGAGACTGGTTCACACAAGTATGATATAGGGACGAGTGGAAGAGCTTGGGGAGATCCCTTCCTAGCATTGGGACACTTATTGCTAGTTAATACGTTAGACCTAGCCTAGATTAGACCTAGGATTATGTATTTAACCCAACTCTGTATAAGATTTGAAGAAGGGGCTTTTTCACGAAGTGGCAAAAAACTGATCTTCCTACAATATAATTTAAATTAAAAAACAATTTTGAATAAAACAAAAATATTTTACATTGCAGTTACAGTTTGATTTACGTGCTTTTCTCACTGGCGGTTTTCACCGTAGGAATCTTACGACGCGACGTCTAGGAGATTTGATTTCATATCTTTATATTTATATCCTTATATTTCGAGTCGTACTCCTGTAAATGTGCAGACTTGAAAATTTTGAACGCACTTTCCTTCTGCTCTGGTATTTATATAAAATTTTCTGAAATTGTCCTCGTTCTTTATTTTATAACTTTCTTCGGCATTCATTTGTCCAAGAAAGTTTTTCTTAGCAAATTGGCAAAACCAAAACTCAAAGCAAAAAAAACACCTCTAAACTACACAGGAGTTCGAAAGGGCAGATGACAAGGTCCTCACCAAAGTTCCAACCGAATAAAATAAAAGATTGTAAAGCTTTTAAATTAATTGAATGTAAATATAAAAATAAAATGGATACTAAATATGCAATAGTTTTGGCATTTGACAATAGCCATACAAAGCCATAAGGTTTTTTTATGATCTGGATTTTAAACGTGTCACATTTCACAATATTACGTTTAGAAGAAATGACTGCATGCCTTTATAGTCACGCATTGTCAGACTTGTGTTTGTTCTGTGACAGTTTGTGTCACATTTAGTTTGACGTGCAATTCACATTCAAGTCACATTTATGAAAATTACCAATTTATTAATTAACGCGGTATGTTTTCATTTGATTTAGCTTTAGATTTCAGTATGCGAAATGTACACCTACGTGTCCACATAGGTAAATCAGCGATCCTTAATTAAATTTCCTTATCATTTAATTAAGATTTACTTATTATTACCTACCTTGGTCTTATCGACACCAATAATACTTAATCCAATTGAAATTTAATTAGATACAGGGTTATTTATGCATAATGGTTAAACAATTACATTTAATTAAATTTACTTATCACTATTACATTTACATAGTTTCTCTATGCTTCATTAATGAAACTAGAAACGCTATAAGTATAAACCCATTATTAATTTTATTCAATTTGCTATTGCATGGTTTGTCAATGTAAAATTGATTAACGCGCATTGCTGACCTCAATAGCGTGGACGAGCGTGTATAGATTTCGCTTACTTAGCTCACTGTGTAAATAAAACAAGCTAAGCGTTGCGCTCAGTTAGTAGTATTATTACCAGTCAGCGCAAGCCACCCGCCCCGCGTCTGTCGCTACTCGCTTGTTTGAGCAAGGTCATATCTACATACTACCAACATACAACAACTCGTTCGTTTTCAGTCCGATAATACCGCTTCTATACATAGTCGTCGCTTGTATACTGTAGATCGGCGTCGTCGGATAGAAAGCAAGAAACGAGACAAAGATGTTTCAACTGCGTGCTCGCTTGTAAGAGCGACAGAGATAGCGAATATTATCGTCACTCTATTGCTAGGCACTTGATAGCCAGCCAATACTGGCACGAGTCTGGCACTTTGGCGGCGGGCGGCGGCGACCATTTTGTGCCGTAGCCATATCAGTCTGTGTGCAAGAAAGGAACAGAATTTTTGTGCCCTTGGCTTGGCGTCGTACAACGCAGATCGTGGTTGCCTGTGCTCGGATCGAAACTGGCTGCTCAGGCGTACTTCGTCCTTGATTATTATTAAATTAATCCAACTGTAATACTAATTAGCACAAAGTGATTACAATTGTAAAGTTGGACATTTATTTTACATAAACCAGTTGGTATTGACAGATTATTCTGAGACTTTCTCAGATAGGTACCCATTGTGCGTTTGGGTCGATCGTGCGGTATCTCGACGTTTTGACGGGTCGTTTATTTGGCCGGCCATTTTGTATTTTTGTTTCGTCACTTCATTTGCAGTTGAGAAAGCGGTACCGAAGTTCGCGGAAAATATTGAAGCTTTTCACATCACGATGTTCGTGTTGCTTTGAATTGTTTTTCGGAGATATGGATTGAGTGATTAGATCTGTGCGTTGTTTTCTGTCTTGACTTCATTGTGAACTATTTTGACTGACTATAATCGCAATTGGATTGCAGAAGATTTGTTGTTGAAAGTGTAGCACATAAATATAAACAAGGTTTTTTATCAAGTGGACTTAATGAAGCAGTTATTTCTGATGGTTTCTGGATAAAGGGGATGCTTGTGAGTACTCTGTGAAATAATATCTGTATAATTTCGGTTTGTATTTGTAACGCGAACATTGTTATGAATGATTTTGAAAGCATGATCGTATTGTACTTTCTCACAAAATACATTTTTTAGTTTGTGATGGCTATGTATTATTTGTTTTAGTTTCTTAATGCGTAGACATTCATATTTTCATATAATTTTTTATAAATTTCATACGAGTCTACAAGGTTCATATCATTAAAAATAACCTTTTGAATATAAATAAATGAAATAGAACAATCAATCAATTAAGTTGGCATTCGTTCCTAGAGACCGGGAAGTATATTGAACATTTTTGTTATAATGAAGTGACTACAGAGCTGGCATAACCCAAAGAGGAAGATGTCCTTCAAAATAAATGATTATTAAAGTATCCACATCGATTACTATGTACCTGATCAAGATACCACTGGTCTAAATACCAAAGAGATTGATATTGTATTGATTATTTTAGAACACAATAATCAATTAATTTTCTTGAGCTGCAAAAATTAAAAAACAAAAGTTTATAATTTGGCCCCCATATTCATTACCAAAATTAGGTATTTAGAATTATTTTGTTTATTTACCTATAAATTACATTACAGCATCTCAAGCAATGCCATATTTTTTTCCCCATTTTTAGGCTTCTTCTTTGCTTATTCTGGTGCCTTGTCTTAACCTCTACTTGACGTTGGCAGAAAAGTTGTTCATTTCAGAACCAACCAAAATGCCATCAATGTCATAAAGTTGTAAATTTTTAGTGTTTACTTATTTCATGGTCTAGATTTTATGGAAAGGTAGTTTAACCAAAAAGTAAGCCTAAAGTTAGCTTCTCACACCACCTCAGTAACCCAGTATTGAAATCTCCTGGGTGTTACTTAAGCTCCTGGGTTCGAATCCCAGTTGACCCATTTAAGAAATAATGTTTTTTGAGTTGGTTTTTTTTTTGTAGCATGCGCCCAATTAACATAACTCTGATTCTTACAGTACAGTGTACATTCTAATTTAAGACAGGTAATGTCTCAAATGTAAATGACCCTGAATGTACCATTAGTAGGGCCTAACCTGTAATCTTTTATTTTAGTTTAAGACCAGATTAGGTCTCAAACATAAATGACATTGAAAGTACCATAATAGGGCCTTGTCTCCAATCTTTAATTCGAGTTCAAGACGAAATAAGGTCTCAAATGTAAATGACATTGAATTGTATATGACATTGATAGTACCATGATAGGGCCTCACCCCCAATCTTTTACTTGGATACGGCACAGCACTTGTCAGAGTTGCCATGACTGCTAGATCCATTCCCAATTGGCTTTTACTCATGGGAAGTACTTGTTCACAGGTACAGGATGGCAACAAAAGTTAAATCTGATTATCCCACATCTCCACAAAATGGTGAATCAGGTTTGTTTATTCTTTAAAAATTTCATTTATTGACCATATCTTTATTTTATTTATTTGTGCTTATGTTTTACTAACTTGGTATTATGCAATCTTTTATAAGGCAGATAATTTTTTCCAATATATATTATAAGTCATTTTCAAAATAAAGACCCGAGGTTGGATTGTACATACATTAAAAGTATTACTTATGGAAAACAAAAAGTTCATAAAGTGCAAGTTAACTTATATACAAGATATATATTCTTGTTGTGTATAACTACACGACTTGACTAAGTCCTGAAAAGTATTTGACTACCATATCTTGACTTTACAAAAGCAGGATACTATTTGATCAACATCACACATAATTACATAATTATGCACCTAATATATTTGTGTTCAACATAACACATACGAAGTGCAAAATAACTACTTCCTGAGCAGTTGTATGGTCTAAACTAATTGCTTAAAACTAATTGACTAATAAGACCCAGTGCTGAAAACTACTTGACTAAGATGATATGTTTAATCGCAAATACTTGCTTGATAACCGATTTTGCATGACTAAAAGTAGAACTTACTCTACTTACATAACAAAGCGTACAAAACTACCTACTAAGTAACGTGATATAAGCCGAAAACTTCTAATTTTATATGGCATAAAGTCATTAAGTTTATAGCCAGAAATCGAGACGAAGTAAGGACCAGCCGTCCCTGGTAACTCATCAGGCAAATGGGCCTTATTTCACTTTTAAATATCAACTCTCGTTTGCACTGAAATCACAAATTAGAATGCTGAAATAGTACATCGCCAACGAGTGACCCGTGTGGATGTCTCCATATATTCCAAAAATATTCTGTATTTATTGTAATAAAGATAATATCTCTAACTATAAACAAACGGAATCACATTTCATTGGTAATTCAATATGTAATTTTGCAATTATCGTCCATTATAGCAAAGCTCAAGATAAACTGGTCGTTTTGAAGTGAAACAATTGACGACACCCGTCAGTTGTTTCCAATTCGGGCTGGCCAATCGGAGCGCAGGTGTCACTGTAATGATTTGGCAGAATAGTTTTCAAACAAATTAATGATATAAAATAAAAATATAATAATTAATTTATATCTGTTCTCCCAGCACAGGTTCAATAAACAATACGGGTAATTAACAAACCAATACATATGTGGAACTAAGAGATATGTTTACATATTATACAAACTACGCGCAATCGGTGCGTAGTTGTATACGTAATGATTTGGCAGAATAGTTTTCAAACAAATTAAATGACATTTTCTCTCTATTTCTGGTTATATACTTGATGCATAAAGTTTATAAATTTGGTTAATTATTACGTGTCTAAGTGCTATTACAGCATGTCTAAATGCAGGTAACTCTCTTGCACTATTATGATGAAATACCTGACTAAATTCAAACGACTAGTTCAGATAACTATTTGACTAGTTTACTAAACTACTTAAATAATATCGTCGTTGTACTGCGAAAACCAATTATCTGAAATTGTCACAGAAAATGACTTAATGTTTTATAACGCGACAAAATTATATAAAATGCAAACTTTTTAAATTTAAGTGAAACATGAAATGTGGAATCATCTGTTAAAAATTAACATGGGATAACCATGGTATGTGTAAGAAATAGTCATCGTTGAAATTTCAATTGCATTTATTTCAAAGTCGATATTTTGTGAAATAATTGTTTTTCCCAGTATAACGGCGATATAAGGTAGTCACCACACGTATAGACACTGAAACGCATTAAGCCGATAGAAAAAAATATTATTGTTGTAATAAGAGCGAAAAAGACTCTTAATTTCGCGTTTCGCGTCGCTGATCCAAGTGGAAGTGAAACGTCACCCTTATTGCATGGACATGAAGATTTTTTCGATAGGCTCAAGCCGATTCCGCGTTAATAAGTTTGGTGACTCCCTAACACATCAAGTTGTTCTAGAATCTTCTTCCTGTCCTTATCTCACTAGGTGGGGTCGGGTATTTTTCTTCTACTCTCCCCTATCAGCCATTATTTCCATACTAGTTGTTTTAGAATAATATGCCTATGGTACTTATAAAACTACCTTACCAACAAGACGACATGATTAAAGCTAAAACAGAGAGGGAGTGAAATAATTTTTTTTAAAGTACTGATGTGTACTATTTAAAATAACATACAAATAAATATGTTGATTTAGTAAGTAAATGTGCTTAATTGTATTTAGTTTATATAATATGCATGAACGGATGTAAAACATATAACCAATTATCATCAGAGATGGAAATGGGCTGTTCATATTTACCTAAACTTTAAATAATACATGTGGAGCGGGTAATAGCTCGGAAGCCCAGGAAGATTAAAAGTATGTAACAAAAGAACATAGTTATATTTCTACAGTTACATTTGAACTTTTCCATCATATTACTTCCTCAAAGATCAGATAAATATAAACAGCGCCTTCCGATCTCTGATTATTATATTTTTTCATTTGAAACTTCTTAATGTATTAATTTTTAGTGAATAGTTTGTGCACTGTAAGGCTTTTAAACAGGTTGTCATTTTTCAATAAATTTCGTACCGGTAGATTCATGTCATGCTATAGATTTGAACTCTTTTCTTAACTATATTGTAAAATAAAGCACGATCAAAATCTATCACCCACCAGTGTACACTGAATATTTTGGCAATTCTTTTTTATAGTATATTCTAAGGTTTCTTCACAATGGAATATGAGAATACTCACTAGATATGGAATAAAAAGAAATAGACAAAATTTTTCATAAATTGACAAAATTTTTCATAAATTGATTCAAGTTTAGACAGTTTGATCATGTCAATTCGTCAATCTGTCTGTCTGTCTGTCTGTCCATCTGATTGTCTGTATGGCACAGCTTTTATACTTCCTCGTTTATGAACCATTCATATTACGTGAGGCGCACTATAAGTTTCCGGAATTAATAAGAAAAATATGCAATAAATGGCCCGAAATGAATTTATTGTTTCTCAAAATTCTCCGTTAGCGTTAATGCACTTTTTCATACGAATAAACCAATTTTGAAAACATTTATGCCGTGACAATCTCTAAAACATATTTTTCATACTCTTCGACAGCCTCTTCAGGTGATGAAAATCGTCAACCGCGTAACTGGTTCTTAATTTTTGGAAATAAATAAAAGTCACAAGGTGCCTGCCAAGTCGGGACTGTACGCGGGATGGCTCATAAGGTCAACGTTATTCACCTTCAAAAATTCATTTGTCTGTCATCGTGGTGCAAGATGATACGGCGTTTACGGTTCTTTTTTTACGGAGTTTGTCAATAACTTCCAGCAAACAAATGGTCGTGTACCAATCACTATTCACGGTACAACGATTCTCCAAAGCAACAGTAGCCACGTGTCCAGTTTTATTTAAAAAAGAAGCAATCATCCGCTTAGAGCAGAGGTTCCCAAACTTATTTTATCTACTGCCCACATGGAGAAGAAATTATTTTTTATTTTTATTACGCGCGAAACCGCAAATGAAAATAAAATAAATATTACGTAGTTTATATAGGATGGCATAAGCAGCACGCACCGACAGGAATAAGACAAATATGCATAAACTCGTTATTTTATTCGACGCTCAATCGCATTCAACAAGTAAGAACAAGTATTCTATGAACCAACCGATTGATACAGGAATGCACAAATCGGGTTATTTAACAAACACTGTTAAAACATGATTGCCCGCGGTCTATTATCTACGAAAATTACCTATCTAGAAATACTAATAACTATTAAAATGCGAAACTGTGTCTGTTGCCTTTTTATTTGTTTGTTTGTGTCTACTTTCATTTCGAAACGGAGCGACCGATTGACATGATTTTTATTTATTCAATAAAACAGGACAGATATATGAACTATGCGAAGAGAAATATCGAACCGAGTTAGTTTGAGCAATCTCTTAATTAATATTAGTTGACGTTCACAAGTTCTAATCGAGAGTCGAGAGCTCAGTCGGTGTCTAAGAGTTTTCCTAGATGAAATCGCAAATCTCCCCCTAAGCCTCTATACAACGCCCCCATTTTTTTAGGTCGAATCGAATCGAATGAAAATGTTGAGTGTGTACGTTATTATTATGTTGAGTGTGTACGTTATAGGTCTCTTACCGCCCCCCTTTAGGCCTGCAGCGCCCACAAGGAGGCGTTATCGCCCACTTTGGGAAAGGCTGGCTTAGAGGTACTTTGCACGCGCGCCATCTTTGTTAGTTTCGGCTCATCTCGAAAGACCCATACGCTCGATTGCTGCTTTGTTTTGGGATCGTAACTATAAATCCATGTTTCGTCACCTGTTACTATGTCCCACACCAAATTTGACGCCTCTTCATTGAATCTGGTAAGCATGGCATTCACCAAGTAACGCGATCCGTTTTTTGAGCCTCAGTCAAATTGTGTGGGATCCTCCGAGAGCCACCGACAGCATCGATGTTTTGTAATTCACAGCAGTGGACGGGCGACCATCACGAAATACGTCACTGAGGGTCATATTCCAGAACTCTACTCAATGCTCAAGTCAGGATTTGAGTATGGTTTAAAGCACTCGAAAACATGCTCAAGTCCCTGTCATTAGGGTCGAATTTCCAGTGCTTGAAATCATACTCAAGTCTGCTCAAATCCTGACTTGAGCATTGAGCAGAGTTCTGGAATACGACTCTGAGATTCACGCGTTTTAATTCTGCAAATCGGCTATACATAGTCGTCTTGCGTGGTGCTTCATCGCCAAAAGCAGTTTGAAGCCGAGGGAAGCTGTTAAATTACACTTAAAGTCGTAGAAAATCATACAACGAAAATTTTCACGAGTTAAATTCATGGTGATGTAGACAACCAATTTCTAAAATGACGCCACAATGTAAAAACAAGTGACAGTCAGATGAAACAACTGTATTCTACAGCCAAAGAGTTCCATTTTCAAATGTTGTAATTACTTTTTAAATATTGTTTATGTAAGTGGCCAGTTCCGGAAACTTAGAAATTTATGGTGCGCCCTGTGTACAAACACGTAACACTCTTGGCCAATACTTATTGAAAGATGCCCGTGTTTAGTCAGACTCAAGTTTTCAAGTTCTTCAGAAAATAAATCCTTCTGTTCTTTGGTTCTGGTCGCAGTTCAAGGGTCTAGTGAAGTAGATTTTTTTAATTTTTGTTTTTACTTTCTTTTTTTTAAAGCTAAAGCTTTTGTATTTTTCGTTTCAGATGAAGAAGAGAAACAAGATCCCGAGTCTAATACTGACGTTGAAGATACAAAACCGGCTAAAACTGATGTTGCTGAATTATTAAAGAGATTGCAATCCACTGGGGCCCTATTAAAACAACCCAAGAAAGAACATCGGTGTCATACTTGCAACGAGGACTTCCCAAATTGGGAAGATCTAGAAAACCATTTATTTAGACACGTGTCACTGCCCTCAGTGGTACTCGACAAGCTGCCTTCGGACGACGAAGATGTTCCTCCATCCGGAGATGACAATTGGAGCGACGAGGAAGACGATGTCCCCGATCCTCCGCAGCAAAAAACGCCCCAAAAGATAGACATATCACAACTAATGAAAAAAGGCCTCATCAAGGCTTCACCACAAAAACAACCGAACTCCGACTCGGCACTAAGCAAACTCAGCGGCTTAGGTTTTACTATAAAAAAAGGCTCGACACCAATCAAACAAGAAAAGACAGAATCTGAACCACAAAGTACTAGTGATGTTATGCAAAAATTAGGTAATTTAGGCGGTATCAAACTTAAACTAAAATCTGATGGAGGAAATACCAATTCGTTCAAGGTTATCAATGGGCTCAAAGACTTTAAAACTTCCGACGATGAGGAGGACGAAGGAAGTGGTAACGAGGAACCTAAAGAAGAACAAATGGATTCAGGAGAAGAGCTAGAAAAAGATCCATCTGAACACGAGTCGGGAGATGACCAGGAACAAATTACTACTAAAAAAGAGGTATCTGACTATAAGGACTCTTCTGACGAAGAAGTTCCATTGGCCATCGAAAAGGCCAACAAAAAGATCGCTAGTGCAATAAAAACTATGCAAACTAAGTTAGCAAGCCAAAAAGAACAGGTTAAAAAGCAGATAACACATACAGAAGCCGAACAACCTCCTCTTCAGCCGAATAAACCTGGAAAACCGGCTATGAAGCAGACACCGAAAAGAGGAGCCACTCTGCCAGTGTCTAATCCGATTGCACCCACTCAAGGCAAAGATATCTCCACAACTTCAGCAGACAGACGTGACTCTCGAGATACTAATACGGATAATGTGACAGTCAAAAAAGAAGTCGAAGATTCAGAGCCGCAGTCTTCATCTGGTGCCATGCCATTATTTTCCGGTCAGATTAAATCGGAGAGAACATCTCCCGTGCCAACCGATTCTGTATCAACGCCGATTATTTCCGAGGTAAAGACCGAACCTGGTGCGACTCCTGTAAGTTCACATAAAGTTTTGCAGAATACTGTTCCTTCCAGTACAACAACAAGTAATCTTCTTCCTGTTACTAAGACTGAAGACACTGAACCAACAATTATCGAAATAAATGGTGATTCGAACGATGAAGATGATGACTGCTGTGTAGTATCTGCTACACCTGCACCAGATGTTAAACCTCTGATTCCTAAAACTGAATCTCTTCCATCGTCATACCCTCCACCAGCCTACCCGAGCACACAACCTAGCTACGCCTCATCGTCATCTGTACTTGCTTCACGTTTAGGTGCACCATCAACGGAAAAACAACATTGTTTCAATTGGAATGCACCTGATTCAAAACCTGCAATTGATGTTTTTGAAAAGAGTGCTGATGATATATTTGAAAGTTTACTCTCGAATGCCAAAAAAGAAAATTCATTATCAGATGCCAGTGAATACATATCCTTAGATACACTAGGCCCACAACATTCGTGCGACGTTTGCAATGTTAGGTTTACGAGCTTGTCTCTCTTAGATGACCATAGAAGAATGACCGGTCATTCGTCATCCTTAGTGGCTCCATCTTCTTCTACGTTACTTCCATATAATTCGTCGCCTAATATCCTATCAAGCTTATTGCCTGTAAAGCAATTGGCTGAGCAAGTAGGGAAGCTATCGGGAATGGGAGGCTCTGGTCCAGGATTCACACATCAGCAAAATGTTATGATCAACATTCAGGCATATCCAGGTGCTGGTGGAATGATGGGACCACCACAGCCATATAATAACACCCCATATTCGACACCACAGAACATGCATTCAGGATTTCCACAAACTCCCACCAGTATGTACAACGCACCAGGACAAACAATGCCAGGACAGTACCCAGGGCAGAATTTTATGGGGCAGCAAGTATATGGGCAGCAATTCCAACCTCAAATGTCGAAGCCTGGTTACCCTGGGACTATGTCACCGTCTACAATACCATATTCTGCGGCATCACCTCTACAAAGCATGCAACAGGCGGTTTACGGGCAAAGTCCGGGAATGATGAATAGTCAAGTTGGCCAAATGGGCCCTCCTGGTTCGTCACCAAGTCATTCTTTCGTACCTCCTTCAAGTTCAGGAGGCATGACGCCGTCATCGAGTAATAATGTTCGAATACAAAATGTTCAGACCTTTGCACCTGGGCAAATGATGGGCCCACCAGGACAACCAATGCCCGCAGGACAAGAAATGGGTCCTGGGCATATGACAGCACCAGGACAATCCGTAGGAGGCCAAATGCCAGCACCTGGACCTATCAGAATGGCAGCGGGTGCAAACATTACTGGTACTCGTCCACGCATGCCCACTGTGAGGGGAGCCAGACCTTCAATAAGACCAGGAATTCATGTACAAGGTCAAGTGCGAGGAGCAAAGCCTGTACGCATGCCAATGAAGCGAGGAGGAGGCACCGTCGGCGGACCCGGCGCGAAGCGAAGACCTGATATGTTGCTGCCTGGTAAACATGACAATGAGGATTGCCAAGTGATGTCAATGCAGAAGCAGCGCGAAGGACTGCCGATGATTCATAGTGTGCAGGGCGCAAAAGACAAATTAAATTTCGGTAGCCAAATATCTATAACTAAAAAAACTGTAAACAAAGAAGCTAATGCTATGGCGAACGTGCTAGCAGCGAGAGGGATTAGCATAAAACAGAAACAGAAAAGTCGATCGCCGTCACCAGAACGCCCTATACCGCACATTCCTAATTTAGGAGCGGGTGTAAGTATTAAACATACGTCTAAGTCTAGTAATTTCTCGATCCCAGAGGCTAAAGTGGGCGGAGGGATGTTATCATGTAAAATCTGCAAAAAGATGTTCATGAATCACAATTCTTTAGCTGTACATATGTCAAATGCGCATCCTCAGAGCAAAATCCCGACATTTAAATGCGACGAATGCCCTGCATCATATCCTAAATCTTTACAATTGCAACATCATAAGAGAGTCTTCCACAACGTGACAGGTCCGAATAGGGAATTAGGATTACCCGTTGTAGATTTAGCTCAAGAAGACAATTTGCAACGGTTGAGCAATTTGGGCATATACAGTTTTATTCCTTTGGCTAACCGTGAACAGGCGGGCGGGTGTTTCGGGATACCGGTAATATCTGTTCACAACATGCAGAATGGCATGACAAGTGGCTTGCAAGCGCTAGGCGCCGATGGATTATTGAGTCTAGGGCCATTAAAACCTCTGCCTAACACGTAAAATTTACATTCTTTTACGAATATTGTGTAAATAATTTTCAAAATTCATATTAGTGATTTAAGGAAAACAATTTGTGTTAAGACATCCATTTCTCAAGGTTGAAGAGAAATGAAAGTATTTTGTATACGATAGTAATCTCCTAATAATTGCGGAAGTGTAATAAATGTTGTGTAAAATCGACTATTCACTATGTTACATGTTGGTTACATTTTAATACAAAGGCAGGGAAATACTTAGGGCAATAGAATAATGCATCTTGCAAAGTTGAAAAACATTTCGACAGGATGTGCTGTATCTCTAAATATCTGTGACTGCTATTCGTCATGTTCACACGAACTTTATTGTATTTGCCAACGTGTAGGACTGTGATTGTCATATTTAATATTTAAATGCTTTTGTAAAAGTAATACTCTACCAATAGGTCGTCCAAAGTTTCCTAAAAATATTTTGCCACGTGGTTTTGGTCAACCTGTACTAAGTAAAGGCTAACGAGTTATTATTATTTCTTTTATGGCGGCCACTAGGCTTGTGCCAGTGTCAGTTTTATTAAGAATAATATAAAAATAATGGTGATCATCGTCAGTGGCAGTAATGTTACATTTGGGAATTTTAAAGTACTAGTTTCTTCCTCTGACAACACGGATATCAGACGTCATTACAAGCGTCACGGTTTCGAGGTCGAAAACCAAGTTGTCAACTTTTATATCCAGTATAACTGATATTTCTAAACTATGTATAACAATAATTCGCACCTTTAGAATGAAAGTGACCCAACACAAAATTCCAACTTTTTGGGAATACGCAAAATAAGATTTGAAATTGGGATATATTACTCTTAAAGGTGTAAGGTATATAAATAATGTTGATACATTGAGCTTTATGATTTCAAACAGTTGTTTCTGACCATTTTAATATTTAAAAATATAATTGAAACAAATCTAGTCAAGTTACTTTTTTATTGAACTTCTCTGCTTTCATTTGACCCAACAAGAATTAAATTTGTTTCATTTACATGAGATAAGCAACATGTTATGACCTTATCAAGATTAAGCCGTTTTTATTGTGAAAGTCCTTTGATTAATAAAGTGAGTCGCATTTGTAAAAAAAAATATAACGAAAAGTTATTTTTTCACCAACAGTCGTGACGTATGACGCAAATACAGGTTCAACAATAAATGTGGCGAAATTCGAGCTCTAAATTGTCGTTTCCAACTATATGAACAATCAGATTAACAATCATATGAAACATTTAAAGATGCTTTACGGTACTAAACTCATTTTGTTAATTGTTTTAAATTAGATCACTTTCATTCTAAAGGTAAATTCCAGGGACCATTTGAAAAACGTATATACATATTATTACGTGCCAATAAAACAAATGTACTACAAATCACCGAAATTAAAATCGCGACGTGGTTACTGTAGGTAGAGACCTGGCCGCCGACATTGTAATGTTAATTGTACATAAATAATTATAATTATTTAGCATAAACATATTACGATAACTTTGCGAAAGGATAAGACTAGAGTACACGTATTTTTAACTTTTATGGAAGGAATTTAATTGTTAACTAATTAATCTCGTACTTTATAGTTTGATAATTAAGTTCATTCCATGTCAGAAACCTTCCTACAGTAACCGAACTATAAAACTGAGGATTGGGTTTGATATGACGCTTTCTTTTAAAATTTTAATGGACGTACTATTTTACTGGGTTTATTTACATGTATAAGTTGATAACACACTATCGGTAAACAAACTTAATTTCCTGTACCTACAACGATTGGCAGTCTTCTCGTTTTGCTGCCTCGCGATAATAAAGTTACAACGGGTTCCAGGATCTGGTGACAAATGGACTAATGTTGTTGGCAACATTTTTTATAGTTGAATAAATATTGATTTTGATAATTGGCTCAAAATTTGCCAGGTACTCAGAGCCGTAAGTAACCAAAAACTACTAAACAAGAAAAAAAAACGTTCGTGGTTATGATTTTTCATCACACTTGCACGTAAATTAGTACGAATAAAACCCTGGGGCCTCTTTTTCATTACAGCCATGATTGGCAACGACAAGAAAAAGGCCCGAGGCTTATATTTGAGGCATTATAGTCAAGTTAGCCTGCATGTATTCATACTAATTACGTGCAAGTGTGATGAAAAACATTGTATGTTACACGGGCGGTACGGGAATTACGAACTTCGACTCCGAAAGCCCACAGTCTTCGCCTTCGGGCTTCTAATAGTCTCGTTCGGAATTCCTTATTTACTGCCCTTAATACACAATGTACTATTAATCCTACAAAAAAAAAAAATGGTTTATGTAATTACGTTTGATTTTCTTAATATTTGTTACCTGTTTAAGCTGATGGCTGTATTGTATAGCCATGCTCAATAAATAATAATATTAAAGTAAACACAGTAAAACGAACTGATTACAATTAATTTCATAAAGTTTAAAATGGAATAAGTTGCGTGAGAAATATGCTGCTTTGTTGTATGTAATTACATATTAATGATATGACGTATTATGAATTTTTAATTTATTACAATATTATTTTCATAAATATTTCAAATTACAATACCTTGCGTATACAATACAATTTGAAAGTGTCAAATGTGCTCAATCGTAGTAGTAAATTTTTTCGTTTTTTAGACCAGGCGCGTTCTCATTATGTTGTGACGACTGATAGTGGTGGGGTTTAGTGTCGTGGCTTATATATTTAAATAAAGTTGTTGTCATAATATAGTACAACACGATTAACTGCCGTTCACGACTTTTTTGACGTTACGACGACTGACTGTCGAGAAAATGGGAAGAGCTAGAGCGACAGCCGTCTGACGATAAATAAAAAAATATCACGATAAAATTGTGACGACAGATATTCGCAGCTACTATTGTCATCACGTTTTAAGTATAGTTGGCTGCACGTGACGCGATAAATTGTCGTTACGATCTAGTGGGAATAGCTAGTCACGACGTCGTTCAACGAATTAAAGATTAAATTGGGATTGTCTAGTAAAATTTAGTTTTTGAATGAAGTGTTCAGATTTTTCAATTACATCAATCAAATATTATCAATGTCAAGAAACTAACCAATCTGGCATATAGGGTTGAGAGCATGTCATGCTTGTTGTGGACCTGTACCACTTATTGCTTTTTCCGCGTCATTATGTTCTGGTATATTGATACTTATTGTTTTTCAAGGGTCCCTGGTAGACTTCCAACACAGATGTATCAGAATAGTGTCAAAATTACTAGAATAAGTGCAATAAGGAATTCAAGCTTTCGAATTAGGAGTAAGTACAAACTTTTAAGGTATTTACTGTGTCCGTTTTTCTGTGACCTGTGATTTTGTACTATACATTTGTTGTTGAAATAGAATTTTGGAAAAAAGTAGCATAGGCTTTCGAATTAGACGCTTATTGAAGCGCCACTGTGGTATTAAAGCCGCGCCACTACTAATTTTCGTACATTATTTAGAAGCGCAGTAGCAGCGCCACAGTCGTGGCACGCGCGCGCCACTTTTGCATCACAATTAGTGAACTAAAAAATTACTGAAGCGCTACAGATGCACAACTGCCACGCCACTGCTGCGTTTCTATGAGCGTCTAATTTCAAGGCGCCCTAAAGGAAACGTGCAATATCTGACTGTACTTACTATCTATATCAAAAATAATATACTGGTATCATTTTTGGCCACTAGCTAGCATTTTATAGCTTTATGAAATTACGCGGCTTGAAGAACTACGTCCAAAAATGGCGGTTGTCATCATGTTGTCATGTATCTTGACTTTTGTGATCAACCGTAATTTAGAGGCGTTATTTATCATACACCGCGTTCATGTTGATGCAGACAGAATCGTCTTTTGTCTAGATCAAATTTTCAAAAAGTGAAAGTGATGCGGGTTTGCCATTGACTTACAAATGAATGGACGACGGGTCTAATACAAAAACCACGAAAATAATGTCCAAAGTCGACCTATTTAAACGTAGTGACATGTAAAGGAATTTGAAAAAGCTAAAACGTTGAATATAAATTGTAATGTCATCGCAGTACTGTCTAATTTTGTTTGCTTCGCTGTCAGTCGAACAAACGAAGACTAAAGCGTGAATGACGCTCTGTATACGATTTTAACGCCCTATAAGTTCGGACACTTTTTAGCGCGGACCCGACGTCCATATAATTGTGAGTCAATGGGGTTTTTCGTTTAATTTAAATATTTCAATATTGTATCGTTATATAATGATTTACCTATTTTATAGGCATCAAGTGGCCTATATATATTTTTTCGTTTTGGACCGTTTGCAACGGTAATAAAGAACATTCTTCAAATGAACTGCCGTAATTATTTTGTACAAGGGGGGGTCGCTTATAGTGATTAATGTGAAATACATATTAAATAGGAAATTATTTCATATAAGAAGTTAGAAAAAGCCGACACCTCGCTTATATTTTATGCCCGGAGTGATGGTGTTCCATTTCTTTTTGTTACAAAAATACAGTGAAGCACATCAATTTCTAAATTACTGTATATATTGTTTAGAGTATAGTGAGTTCCTGCCTTTAGTCGTACAAGGGATATAAGTCTCTGGTCAAACACGGTAATTATAATAAATGACATTCTCACACTCATTTCCAATTTTATGTAAAAGCAAGGAATAGCGAGTGTATAGCACAAGAGTGACACCGCCTCAATTCATTTCAAACTATGGAAAAGAATTTGTTGTTTGTAATGTTAATAATACGAGGTTATTAGTATTTTACAAATTCGCACCCCTCATGGAAGAATGACATAAGTGGAATTACGTCACACATGTTTGTTGCTCCATTAGATATAGAAAAATAAAACCCACATTCTCTCCAATTGCAGAGGGTATGGGTTATATTTTTCTGTATCTGATGGAGCATTAAACATGTTTGACATAATTCCACTTATGCCATTATTCCATGAAGGGCGCGTAAATAACCCTGTGTAATCAATTAAATTATAGAAAAGTTGAAACCAATTTTAAGACCCTATTACAATTATCGTGCTTGACTAATTAATAGTGTTTCTCTATATTTGTTAAAACAGAGAACTGAATTTGTTAGAATTATAAATTGTTTCGGTTTCTAATTTAAAAAAAAAACGTGAATTTATGATAGTAAATTTCGCACAAATGTTGTTAATTATTATTTCGTTTTGGTTCCAGAAGGTCATACTTTTATGTTATTCCAAAGATACTTAAAAATACTATTTCATTCTTAAAATTTATGTTATATTTCTTACAATTGTTTGAAACGATTTCAAACTCAATTTATTTAATTGTAGTTGTGATGTATTCCTACGTGGTTAGTATAGGCAAATTAAAGGTGGTCGTAGACATATGTGCCGTGGCTGACGACGTCATCAGCATAGCGTATGATGGGCCTAAGTGAAATGTATAGACTGTTAATTTGTTTAACGTAAAACCTTAACTCGTTCACGCAGGGTTTTATTTATCTGAGTGTGTGTGGGGTCAAATGTGTTAGAAAAGGCGGCACAAGTCTTCGTTCATCTTAATTAATATCATTTAATACCCACACTATAATACATTTAATGATTAGGCAAAGCTATTCGAATATAATACAATTTCTTTATTTTAAAAATTGTAGAAGATACTTTATATGATTCATAAATATATATTATCATAATCTTAGGTAAAAATAAAGCAAAAATATTCGCTTTGTAAAGTTACATTTTGCTATAATAATATGTGTAGTTACTAATTTTTTTATAGCCAGATTACGTCTTAAATTCTGAATGTGTTAAGTATAGAGTGATATCTATTGTAAGTTTTATTAAATTTTATTTGGAATGTGCATCCATTACAGAGTAACTTATAACAAAATACGAGATAATGAATAAAACAGTATCAAACTATAAAATAAGTATTTTATTTTCTAAAATCGGTGTCCTCAGTAGTGAAAACTGCGTTTTGTGCTTCTAGGCTGTAAGCCCATTTTATGGAGAAAAAAAGTCGATCCAAGTTAAGGCGCATTTACACCAGTGGAGCTAGCAAGACAGGGCGCGACTTGTACGAGAGCGACATAAAGCGTGAGCTCCCTAGCCTAGCTCTACAGGTCGACAGACGGCTTACGCTTGCACGCCGAAGTCGGCAACCCAACCGGTGTAAATACTGAGTCGTCAGACGACCGTTGTTGGCTCCATTATCAAATAATTGAAAAATAGTTTGGGGTCACTTCGCAACTAGTTTCACAAAATTGTTGACGCTCCAAAAACGTGCTTTAACACCTCTGACCCAAATTATTTTTCTACGTTTGTTTTGTCAACACAACATCGCAAATCGCATAGATCCTCTTTTTGGAGCATATGGCGATTCATAGTGATAACTTCTAATGCACGGACGCAATTTCAGTGAAGGCGGCAGATTACTGTAAACGGCGAGTCAACTGCGTCGATTTAGGCAGGGTGAAGTAGAAGATTCTGTGTAAATGCGTCATAATTATTTTTAATGTGGACCACGTGCTGATGCTACTCGCTCAACACAGACGTCCACTAAAGGTTTGCTCGATTTTTGAAGATAGTTACCTGTTAGCGATCAATAAATATCAAGGTTAATATCGAACACATTTGTAGCCTAGTCGATCGACGAAAAATATGTACGTTGTCGATCGTCAATAAATCGAGCATGTCTGTAGGCACCTTAAGGCTCAATTTATATTGCGGCAGAACGGAATGGAAGTGAATTTTTGTAACGATATTGTGCATAGCATAATGAACTTTATGGTCAATTGTGTAACGCACAAACTAGATACGAGCGAAATATTTCCGCGAAATGCGCGAGCATTCTTGAGCATGCGCGAGAATTCCGCGTATAATTTTGGCTCGTATCTAGTTTGGGAAGCTACGTCGAGTCTTCTCGTCGCCTATACCACAAAGTTTGAAAACAAAGGTTTTCAACCAGTGCGTC